GTGTGTGTGTGTGTGTGTGTGTGTGTGTGTGTGTCTTTTAAAAGAAATAGTTCTCTGACACAAATGGTTAAGTTTGTCTCATATATTGTCTTGAATCTTCCTGGAAGTAGTTGTATGTGTTATAAGATAGAAATATAATTTTATTTCCAAATTTGCTTTATTTTCCCATATGGCTAACTTATTTTGTTTGTACCATTTATGATGGATTATATCCAGAGTCTTTTTTCTATTTCATTAATCATTGTACTTCTATTTTGATGCCGCTGATAGTGTCTTACTGTTTCTAGTTTTATAATAAATCTTGATCCAGAAGGTAAAAAAGTAATCATTTATTTAGGTTACTACTAAATATATGATAAAGTAATGGTATTTCTTAGAAAAATGTTTTGTAAAGGTGAGGATTTTTATCTTCAAATTCCTCAGATGCTTTTTTATTGTGTTAAATTAGCCACAAGCAAACATATCTTTTTAGTTTTCAAATTAATGTCTTAAGGGTGAAAATTATTTATTTCACATAATATTTCACATATTATTTCAAATAATAATTTCACATAATAATTTCAAATAATAAATAATTTTTTATTTCCTCAACAACATATTCTTTTCTATTTTTGTTCTCCATTTATTTAAACAATAATGGTCATAGAAGTTTACTAGTGGTACCCCCAATTTAATTTCATTTTCAATTTTGCATATCAGTTTTTTTATTTGATTCTTAATAATTGGAAGCGTGAAGTCAGAAAGGATTAGGATACTAATGACTTCCGTCGCCTTTTACTCTATTTTAAGGAGTTTCTGATGTCTATCTAGTAACTCGATAGCCTCTACTTTCTAGCTATTAATTTAGTACCAAGTTGTTGATGGAATGAGACCTGGAATAATTCCCAGCCACATTTAAAAAATTTTTTAAGTATTTATTTATTTATTTATTTATTTATTTATTTATTTATTTAGAGCATGCGCATGCACACACACAAGTGGGGGAGGGGCAGAGAGAGGGGGAGAGAACCCAGGCTCTGTGCCTTCAGTGAAACCCAGATGTGAGATCATGACCTGAGCCAAAGTCAAGAGTGGGATGCTTCACCAACTGAGCCACACAGGCACCCTCCCAGGCCATATTTTAATAGGAATGAGTGTTTGCTTTTTTGAATATATTTCACATATTTAAGTATCTGAATGAGAGAGTTATTTCTGGTAATGATTTGAACTTTATTGCTTTTTATAGTTCTTTTTTGTTCTCTAGCTGTTTTAGGAATTGAAAATAAACTGTATAAATTATAAATATAGTATATGTTAAGAAATGATACCATAAAACATTGAAATCCAGATAATTAAGACTTACCTCTATTTCTTTTCTTAATTTTTCATGTGTCTTTTCTTCTTCCTCAAGAAAGAAAGTTTTTTCAATGATAGATTCTTTTACAGCTATAATTTTAGCCTTCAGCTTTATAATGTCTTCCTGCATATTTATAAAATTTAAAATATACAAGTCAAACAATGAATGATCAATATAAGTCCAACATTTTTAATGTTTCTATAATTTAAAAAAAATAGACATCGTATTTAATTTTGGTAAACAGGATTAGAACATTACTTCTATAGGTACAAAGAATAAAGAACTGTTATTCAAACAAATAAACCTTTGACTTAAAGACATAAAATTAAAACTAAATGTAGATAAGACATAAAAAATAAGTGGTAGTCATAGTGGCAATTGCCCAGCAACAGTATAAAGGATAATTTTAAATTCTCTAGCAAGAAATGATAGATTGTTTAACTTTATATCTCCCCATCTTCAAACAATACTCTAAAAAATAGAAGATGCTTAAGGTGCAATTATTAATTGATGCTGTTTGTATAACAGCATTACGCATACTAAATTGATTTGAATTGGTTGGATCCATTAGCTTAAGCTAGGGCTTCAACGTTTTTGTGAGTCACCAGTTTCTGCAAAAAAATGGATTAATTGTTCACTGCAATTCTGTTTGAATTTTTTTATTAATCCACAGGGGATTTGAGAACAATTCCTTTATGCATTTGTTCATTTGGCATAGTTGTTATATAACTCATGTATTTAAGTTTTTAGAAGTTGTGAAAATAGTTTCTAAATCTAGTTAAAGCAGCTATGGGTGTTTTATTAAGTTAATGTTAAATTTATCACTTAATAAGTGTGCTTGAAAAAAAGGAGTAATAGAAAAACTTTTGGTAAGTGATATTTCAAACCTGTGCTTGTTTTATGTGGTTTCCTTCTGGATTTTTGAGATTTTGCATAAGTTCCTCTTTCATTGTTTTTAGTTTTCTAACAAGATCTCGTTTTTCATGGAGTGTAGTCATGAATGACCTTTTGCTTCCAGCCTCCCACAAACTATCTTTATGCTCTTTTATTTTTGCATAATATTCATTATATCTTATCATGTGTTCCTCAAAGTCTTCTTGAGCTCCTTCTATGTCAAATTTAAGCTTTACATTTTCTGTATGTAAGGATTTGATTTGAGTTTCCAGGTTCCCACACTGTAGTTTGGTATTCTCGATGGCAGCATCTTGCTGATAAATTTGCCTTTCTGTTTCTTTAGTTTCTGCAGAGACAGATGCTATTTGTTTTTCAAGCTCATGGAGTTCATCCTGTAAAATATTTCAATATTATTGTTATTAATTTATGATACTCAAAAAAGAGGATACTATTGTTTTGATCCATAATTCATGTTGTGAAATCACAACATAAAAATACATATTTATCAGATATTGAAAAACTGTTATACAAAAAGAACCATTCAATAAGTAACAAATTATCTTATAATCTTGAAGTGAGCCCAGAATTATATATTTCTTACTTTTTAATGTTCATCTAATTCAAAATATTAAAATTTACTGTTTGTGTTAACATTTCATATTAAAATGTACTTTACAATCATTTAAATAATATATTTATGGAATCAGAAGTATGCACTGAAGAAAGATAATATGATGAAAATTATAAAGCCCTAGGTTAAAAATCAAAAGATCTATATTCTAGGGCCCTTACTGCCATTTACTAGTTGGTATGATCATATATAGCAAACTTAATTGCCCTATCTAAACCTAAACCTCACTTTATTCATTTATAAATAAGTATAAAGATGTCTGCATTACCTCTCTGGGGCAGTTGGCATTTCTCACCAGCACCTCCTTTTTTTTAATGTTTTATTTATTTTTGAAAGAGCATAAGTGGGGGAGGAGCAGAGAGAGAGGACAGAAGATCCAAAGCAGGCTCTAAGCTGACAGCAGCGAGCCTGATGTAGGGCTTGAACTCAGGAACTCCTAGATCATGACCTGAGTTGGAGTCGGATGCTCAACCGACTGAGCCACCCAGGTGCACCACCAGCACCTCCTTTTTATTTTTTTAATTATTATTTTTAATATAATTTATTGTCATATTGGTTTCTGTACAACACCCAGTACTCATCCTAACAAGTGCCCTCCTCAATGCCCATCACCCACTTTCCCCTCTCCTCCACCCCCCATCAACCCTGTTTGTTCTCATTATCCAAGAGTCTCTTATGGTTTGCCTCCCTCCCTCTCTGTAATTTTTTTTCCCCTTCCCTTCCCCCATGATCTTCTGTTAAGTTTCTCAAGATCCACATATGAATGAAAACACATGGTATCTGTCTTTCTCTGACTTATTTCACTTAGCCTAATACCCTCCAGTTCCATCTATGTTGCTGCAAATGGCAAGATTTCATTCTTTCTCATTGCCAAGTAGTATTCCATTGTGTATATAAACCACATCTTCTTTATCCATTCATCACTTGATGGACATTTAAGCTCTTTCCATAATTTGGCTATTGTTGAAAATGCTGCTATAAACATTGGGATACGTGTGCCCCTATGCATCAGCACTCCTGTATCCCTTGGGTAAATTCCTAGTAGTGTTATTGCTGGCTCATAGGGTAGTTCTATTTTTAACTTTTTGAGGAACCTCTACAGTTTTCCAGAGAGGTTGCACCAGTTTGCATTCCCACCAACAGCAGCACCTCCTTTTTAAAACATAGTTTTCACACCACCATTCTTCTCTGGTTCTCCTCAGATACCTGAACATTCCTTCTCAATCTCAGTCATTCCTTCAAATATAGGTCTTCCTCAGGGTGCAACCATCATCATCTCCTCCTCTCATTCTATGTATATTCCTTGGGTAATCTTACCCATACTTACATCTAGAGCTACATATATGCCAATGATTCACAGAACATAACTGGCTGTTAAGTCCTATACCCAGGTATCCACTGGCCATTTCAAATTCACCACGTCCCCAAATCAGACTAATCTTTCTCCCCTTCCCATCGTGTTCTTCCTTGCATTACTTATCTATTGTCAGGACCACAAAACCTCAGTGACATACAACAATACATATTTATTGCTCACAGCTGGAATTGGCTAGATGCTGACATTGGTTAGATTTGCTCAAATGTCTGAGAATTGACTGGCTGTAAGATGGTTTGGCTTGGCTGACTGGGCTGGCCATGATGTCTTGGCTTTGCTTCATATATATCTTATCCTCTAGTGGGACAGACCAGGCATATCCTTCCCATGATGATAGCAGATGCAAAAGAATGGAAGCATCCTTTTTATGGAATTATGGAAGAGCTTTTTCAAGCTTCTATTCATAACATCTGTTAACATCGCAGCTAGTCATATGATGCAACTCACAGTCAAAGGGTAACAGTACGCCCACCCATGGTAATGATACATGGGGAAGGGTATGAATACAGACAAGGATGAAGAATTGGGACCAAAAATGTGAATTACCATACCCCTGGATTCCCAAACTAATTAACGAATGGTACTACTTTGGGAGCCATCCCTAATTATTTCCTTCTCCTTATTATCTATATCTGTTAATCAAATTTTATAGATCCTCCCTCCAAAACAACTCTGCAGACCATCCTTTTTTTTTTTTTTTTTTGTCTAGTATGGCCATTCTTTTTAAATAAATTTTTAATTTTGGGAAGGGGCAATGCATTAAAAAGTCAGACCAAGTTATCGTTTTCCTGGCAGAGACAAGAAAGAGAAAAATACAATATGTTGAGGAACCTCTATTTTTATCTCCAGTTCTGATATTTCAAATACCCACTTGATTTTTTTATTCGGATACCCAATAGACATCTCAACTATACATGTTCAGAAAATAATCAACACACCCAATATGTTCCTCCCCTAGTCTTCCCGATTTCAATAAATTGCGCCACCTTATACCTAGATACTCAAGACCTATAATTCATTCTTGATTCTTCCCTTTACCTAACTCCCCACAGCCTAATTCAGCAAAACTTGATGGTTGGGCCTCCAAAATAAAATCCCACATTCACTTCTGACCAATTTCTTTATTGTGGCCAGAATTCTGCCTGGTCTCCCTATTTCCATCCCCCCCCCCCCCCCCCCCCCCCCCCGCCACACATCTGAGCTCCATATATCAGGCAGAAGAATCTTTCAAAAACATAAATCATATCATGTTACTTCCCAGCTCAGAACCTTCCAGTGGTTTCCTATTGCATTAATAATAAAATTCAAATTCCTTAATGTAGCTTACAAAGCTATATATCCTCTAGCCACTATTTACTGTGCCATTCCTCTCACATTCTACTCTCCCCTCCTCCACCTTCCTTTCTGTTTATTAAATGTGCCTAATGACTTTCTATTGGAGAGTAATTGTGATCTCAACCTTAGATGTGTCTACCTTTAGTTATTACCTATTGGGGTCTTTGTCTTCCGCAATTCAGTTTTATTATTACTCTTCAAATAGTCTTCTCTGAATTAAAATATAGATTAACCATCCATCCTTCTCCTTGCATTACTCTCTATACATTATTGTATTTCCTTTGAAACACATCAATTAATGGAATTACCTTTTTTGTTTTATTTCTTTATTGCCTGCGTCCCCTGACTAGAGAGTAAGCCCCCTGGGTGCAGTAACCTTGTCTGTTTTGTTTACTATTATGTTCTCAGGTCTTAAAATTGTACCTAGTACAAAAAAGGTGCTCAATAAATATTAAATGATTGAATGAATGATGCACAGGGACACATGCACTGCCAACTAGATGAGGCTATTAACACTATTTATCAATATGGGGAAAGATATTTCCACTGATTTGGTAATCATTTCTTCTCTCTCCTGGACTAATATAATAGGTTATTAATATTTCTCCCTGGCTTTAGTCAATTCCTCCTTCAATCCATTTCTTTCACTAGATCTATATTTTTTGTTCTCCTCCCTCTCCTCCCCTTCTTCTTAATACCCAATGCCTCCTCCTCCTTTTACTTCTCCTCTTTCTTCTTCTGTCCCTTCTTCTTCCCCTCTCCCTCTTCTTTTTTGTTTATAGATTTATTGAGGTAGAATTTACATAAACTGCACATATTTAAACTTTACAATTTGATGAGTTTTGATTTATTTTTATGCTCTTGAGACCACCACAATTAAGATAATAAACATATCCATTACCAACGAGCTTCCTCCTGCTACTTTGCAATCCATCCTTCCTCCCCATCTCTCCATTCTCAGACAACCATTTATTTTCTGTCTCTTACTAAAGATAAGTTTGCATTTTCAAGAATTTTTTATAAATAAATTATCACAATATATACTTTTTAAGTCTTACTTCTTTCAGCATAAATACTTTTAGATACCACTGTATTGTTATACGTATCATTAGTTCTTCCTTTTTATCGATGAGTAGCATTCCATTGTATGGGTATACCACACTTTGTTCTGATGGGTATTTTCGTTGTATGCAGTTTTCCAGTGAGTATACACTTTCATTTCTCTTGGGTAAACAAATATCTAGAAGCTGAATGGCTGAGTTATACAGTAAATATATGTTAACCTTTTAGGAAACTGTGAACTGTTTCCTAAGTGGTTGTATTTACATTCCAAATAACAGAATCTGAGAGTTCCAATTCTTCCATATCTTCTTTACAATACTTGGTATGGTCGGTCTTTTTAAATTTAGTCATTCCAGTGGTATAGAGTAGTATCTCATGATGATTATAATTTGCATTTCCTTAATGATGAATGATATTGATATTCTTTTCATTTGCTTGTCTTTTGTAATATCTTCTTTAATAAAATGACTATTCAAATATTTTGTCCAGGTTTTAATTGGGTTGTTTGGCTTCCTGAGTTGTAGGATTTGTTTATATACTGTAAATATAAGCACATTGTCATATGTGTTTTCAAATAATTTTCCCAGTCTATGACAATCCAAATGTCCATAGGGCCCCAACAAATATACCATATATTCATTTTTAAAAGTGTCTCTTGAGTAGAAATTAAAAAATATTTCCGATGAAGTCCAATTTTTAAATTTTTGTGTCCTATTTAAGACATCTTTACCAAACTCAGTATCACTAAACTTTTCTCCTATGTTTTTTTCTAGACATTTTATAGCTTTAATTCTTACACTTAGGCTGCTAATCCATTTTGAGTTAATTTTTCCATGTGGTCTGAGGTGAAAATTGAGGTTCACTTTTTTTGCATGTGGCTGTCCTCTACCATTGTTGAAAGACTATTCTTTCTCTAAAGGATGGTCTTTGCACCTGCCTTAGCCAGCTTGGCTGTTATAAAAAAATACCATAGATTAGGTGGCTTAAATAACAAGCATTTATTTCTACAATTCTGAGAAATCAAGGTGCCAGCAGATTCAGTTCCTGGTGATGACCGTGTTTCTGGTTTGCCGATGGCTGCCTTCTTCCTGTGTCCTCATGTGGAAAACAGAGTTCTGGTTTCTCTTCCTCTTCTTTTTTTTTTAACCTTTTTTTTTTAAGGCTTATTTATTTTTGAGAGAGAGAGAAAGTTCTGGTAGGGGAGGAACAGAGAGAGAGAGAGAAACACACACAGAATCCGAAGCAGGCTCCAGACTCTGAGCTGTCAGTATAGAGCCTGACACGGGTTCAAACTCATGAACTGGGAGATCATGACCTGAGGTCAGACGCTTAACCGACTGAGCCACCCAGGCGCCCCTTTTCCTCCTCTTCTTATAAGGACAGTAACTCTATTATAGTGGCACCACCCTCATAAAGTCACCCAAATCTTACTTTCCAAAGGCCTTACCTCAAAATTTCAGCACACTAGGGGAAACACAAACATTCAATCCATAATAGCACCTTTGAAATCAATCGATATGTGTGGGGCTATTACTGCATACTCTGTTCTGTTCAATGGATCTGTAGGTCTATCTTTATTCCTTATCATACTGTCCTGATTGCTCTATAATAAATCTTTAAGTCAGGTAATGTATGAACTTCTACATTGTTTTTCTTTTTCAAAATTGTTTTGGCTATTCTAGGTCCTTTCCATTTTCTTTTTTTTTTTTTTTAATTTTTTTTTTTCAACGTTTATTTATTTTTGGGACAGAGAGAGACAGAGCATGAACGGGCGAGGGGCAGAGAGAGAGGGAGACACAGAATCGGAAACAGGCTCCAGGCTCTGAGCCATCAGCCCAGAGCCCGACGCGGGGCTCGAACTCACAGACCGTGAGATCGTGACCTGGTTGAAGTCGGACGCTTAACCGACTGCGCCACCCAGGCGCCCCTCCATTTTCATATGAGTTTTAGAATCGGCAATTTCTCAAAAAAAAAAAAAAAAAAAAAAAAAAAAAAAAAAAAAAAAAAAAGCCTGCTGGGATTTTGATTAGAATTGCTTTTAAACTATAGATAAAATTGAAAGAACTTACATGTTAACAATACTGACTCTTCTGACTCTTGAAAATGGTATATCTCTCTATTTATTTAGGTCTTTATTTTCTCTCATCAGTGTTTTCAGCATACCAGTCTTAAGACAAATTGTCTTAGTCGGCTTGGGCTGCCATAGCAAAATACCATAGACTCAGTAGCTTAAATAACAGACATTTATTTCTCATGGTTCTAAAGGCTGAAAGTGTGTCAGCATGGTTGGGTTCTGGTGAGAGCTCTCTTCTTGGCTTGCAGACAGCCACCCTCTCACTGTATCCTCACAGCAGAGAAAGAGAGAGAGCAAGCTCTCTGGTGTTTCTTCTTGTAATGGCACTACTCATGTCATGAGGATGACTTCATCTAGGCCTAATTACCTCCTAAACCCCCCATCTCCAGATACAATCACATTGGGGGTTAGGGCTACAACATATGAATTTGGGTGAGGGGGACACAAACATTCAGCCCATAACACAAACTTTTTGTCACATTTACCTATAAGTAAATGATAATGCTACTGTAAATGATATTGCTATTTAAATTTTAATTTCTGGTTATTTCTTTCATATACAGAAATACAATTGATATTTATATACTAATCTTGTACCCTGCAACCTTCATAAACTCACTTATTAGTCCTAATCTGTTTTTTTAAAGATTCCTTAGGATTTTCTAAAGATAATCATGCTACCTGTGAATAAAAGTGGTTTACTTCCTCCTTTCCGATATGGATGCCTTTTATTTATTTTCCTTTCATGATTGCACTTGCTTGAACCAGCAGTATGACAGAAAGAAAAGACGTGGTAAGAGCATACATCCTTGCCTTGTTCCTGATCTTAAGGGAGAAACAGTCTTTTGCCATTAGGTATGAAGTTGGCTGTAAGATTCATAAATGGATATATATGCCCTTTTTAGATTAAGGAAGTTCTACTTCTAATTTGCTGAGAGTTTTTATCATGAATGGACGTTGGATTATGAAAAGTGTTTTTTATGCATCTATAATTCTCTTTCTAAAATATAAAGGTAATCATTTGCAAACCCATCAAAACCTTCCCATCACCTTTAGAATACATCCAGGTTACTGATCACAGTATATATCTCCCACCATGTCTCAAAACACACCCTATGCTATACTGCCACCAAACTACATGTACAGTTGACCCTTGAACCACACAGATTTGCACTGCATGGGTCCACTTATAGGAAGATACACACACAGTACTGTCCACTATAGGAAGATTTACACACACACACACATACACACATACACACACACACAGTACAGTACTGGAAACATATTTTGTCTTTCTTGTGATTTTCTTAATGACATTTTTTCTCTAGCTTACTTTATTGTAAGAACACAGTAATTAATACGTATAACTTACAAAACATGTGTTAATAGATTGTTTATGTTATTGGTTAAGTCTTCTTGTCAACAATAGGCTATTAATAGTTAAGTTTTTGAGGAGTCAAAAGTTATATGTTAGGGGTGGGCGCCCCTAACACTCTGTTATTCAAGAGTCAACTGTAGGTCTACGAATGTATCAGTGTATCAATGCTACATGCACCTGTGGATTTTCTTAGGATCTTGTCTGGATGTCTGGAATACCATCCTCCTTAGCACCTAACCCTTAAACCTGTCCCAGATACCCAATTATTCAAGTGAATTCCAACTATCTTCATTTTTTTTTAAGACTTAAAAATTGTTTTAATTTTATTTGAGAGAGAGAGAGAGAGAGAGAGAGAGAGAGAGAGAGAGAACGCAAACAGGGGAGAGGGGCAGAGGGAAAGAGGGAGAGAATCCCAAACAGGTTTCATGCTCAGCACTGACAAGGGGCTCGATACCACAACCCTGGGATCATGACCTGAGCCAAAAATCAAAGAGTCAGATGCTCAAGTGACATAGCCACCCAGACGTCCCTTCAGCTGTCTTCTTTTAAATTCAACTGAAAAATCACTTTGTGATCACTCCTTTTTCAGTGTTAAATCTGCCTCTACTGTTGACATTACTACCCTGCATATAATTATGTATTTATTTGTCTCCCTCATAAATAGATGATGAGCAACTTAAGAGTGAGGACAATGCTTGGCAAAATGCTTAATAGAAAGTAAGCCCTGAATATAAGTGAAATAACATCTGTGCAACTTATTGAAGATTGAGAAGTTTTACGGATAATTTCTTTATAAACTGCTAAGACATTATTATTTGTGTATTATATTCTATTGCAAAAAAATATATTCTTTTCTAAAAGTGACTAATGCAATGCAGATATTTGTAGGAGATCCGTATTACCGTGAGAGTAAAATTATCATCATCATATGAATGATGAACTAATACCTAAAGCCAATATCAAAATCCAGCTCTATACTGTCCACCAGGGCCCCAGCAGGATACTTTACACGTATTTACAAATATTAATTCATTTAATCCTCATGAAACTTCTAAGTAGGTCATATGATTATCTCCATTTTACAAATAGGAAAATGGAAGCACAAAGAAATTAAACCATGGAGCTAAAGGTAGCAAACTTTGTCTTTCAAACTAGGCAGCTGGGCTCTAGAGCCTATTCTTTTCATTTCCATATATATTTAATAATAACCTTTACAAAGCAGATAGTAAAGATACGGTTTCCATTTTTGCTTCTTTAGCTATATTAACAGAGTATAGTTCATCTAAATGTGCTGCATGCCAAACAACAACAACAACAAAACAAAAAACAAGTATGGCTTCCAGATTCCTTGCAGTGGAATTATGAATATATTATGAAATATAAGGAACACAAAAATGTTTCTTATCAACTTGAAATGTTCACTGACAACTATAACTCACAAGCCATGGCTTTAAAAATACTAGCTTAGGGGCTCCTGGTTGGCTCAGTCGGTTAAGCATCTGACTTTGGCTCAGGTCATGATCTCACAGCTTGTGAGTTCGAGCCCCATGTCAGGCTCTGTGCTGACAGCTCAGAGCCTGGAGCCTGCTTCAGATTCTGTGTCTCCCTCTTTCTCTGCCTCTCCCCTGGTTGCTTGCTTGCTCTCTCTCTCTCTCTCTCTCTCTCTCTCTCTCTCAAAAATAAACAAAAACAAAAAAATTTTAAAAACCCACTAGCTTAAAAACTTAACTTTTCTTCAATTTAACATTTTAGAAAAAACTATCAAATAGCAGTGAATTTAAAATAATTCTATGTGATAGATGGGTTTTATATGTACATACTACAGTTGCAATGACATTGCTGAATCCTTGTATATTGGGTGTGCAAAATGTTCCATGACACTGGAATACTTGTATACACTTCATTTAGGGATAAAAGATTAAGAAGGAGTAAACATGAAAAATAGAAGTTTAGAAATTGCCTCCCCAAATTAAGTATCCTCAATAACTTCTCTATTAATAATTTAATATAGTTTTGAAGACAGTAAAGGCTCATTTAAAAACTATATGAAATAGGTTACCTGCAAATGGAATAGAACTTTTTTATTTTTTTCTATCTCTGATGTTTGTGATTGTTGTTGCTTTGCAACTTGCTCTACAGCAGCGGTTAATGAAGACGTGCCTCGGTTAGCCAGAGCTAGACAAAAGAATAAAGTACGTAATACAAATTTAAGTGTAAACACTCAAAGAAAATTAGTGTTTCTTTACTCAAAGTTATGAAAAATGTGATGTTTCTCATCAATAAAGTATATTTAGGGTTGATAATATTCCCTTTCTGACCATAAACAAAACCAAAATCAAATGCCATAATAATACACAATTCAGAATCACCTACTGTAATGTTATACCTGTTCCTGTACAGAACGGTAGAAATATTTTGATTGTCCTATCTATTTTATCCAGACCATTTATACATATACATACAATGCTACCGTAACAACTATATAGCGATTATAGTTGATGAATTTTCATTATAGGCCTGTATTTCCAGGTTGTTATGCCTTTTCTAAACAACATATAAGTTCCTTCTTCGAGAAATTTAACAGTTCCCTTCTGTTCTATTTGGCTATAAATTTTAACACAATTATCCTATCATACTACCTTTTTATTGTTGCCTATCTTTTATTTATTTCTTAAGATTGCTTCATTACCTTCTTCAGGAATTCCTTGACTCTTCATTTCTTTGTTGCCTGACATTCTTCTGTGTCTCTTCCCCCTTTTTGATTCACCTTTTTTTGTGCCTATAAAATAATCAATATTGATAATTTCTCACTTTTCTTTGTTGTTTTTTTTTTCCTGTCATATATCCTGGTGATCCTGAAAGCAAATTAATTGTCAAAAACCTCAAAGGGATGGCAAGGATATTTCATCATTAGTTCCTAAAATTAAAACACAATGGTTAAGTGAAAAAGCTTTGGAGGAAAACTGAACTGTATTTGAATCTTGGTTCTCCTGCTTTTTAGCTGTTATGACCTTGGGACAGTTTCTTAACTTCTTTGACCATCAGGGTCCTCATCTATAAAGCCTCACAATGCTGTCATAATAATTAACGTAATATAGGTAGCATGTTTAGCATAGTACCTGACATATATAGTGAGTAATTATTATGGACTTTGTCTTGGGTTTCCTTTGCTAGTTCCTCTTCAGCTTTCCCATCTATGTCAGTGTCCCAATGCTAAGTCCTCAGGCATCTTCTCCATACTCACTCTTCAACTAATGTCACCTAGTTGCATAGCCTTAAAACCCACTTACAGGTTTTATCCTATTCATATCTCTAATCTGAACATCCTTCTCGACCTCCAGACTCATACCAAAATTGCCTACCTGATATCTTCACTTGGATTTTTATAGGCATTTCAATTTAATATAGTCCAAACTGAACTATGTATTTCTCTGTTCACTCTACCACCACCACTAAACCTGCTCCTTCACAGTCTCCTCCATCTCAATAAATGAAGTTTTTCCTGTTTAGGCCCAAAACCCTGGAGACATTAGTAAGGAGTTCTCTAAAAAAGTATAGAACAGGAGGGAGCAAAGCTAAATAAATGGCAGCTCCCTCTCCAATCAATCAATCAATCAATCAATCAATCAATAAAATAAAAAAGTAGAGAACACTCAGCAATTCAACAAGACTTCTTAAAGATAATCATAAATAAGAGTTCATTGTGGATGTTTCATAGGCCCTTTGGGAAATCCCTTAAGATACTCTCCAAATATGTGGCCCAGGACTTCTGTCTCAATTATCTACCCGAAGGACAAGCCAGAATCTTGACTTTTCTTTTACATGCTGTATGCAATTCTTTTAGCAAAACCTGTTGGTTCCCTCTTTAAATTATATTAGGATTCACTCACTACTTAGCACTTCCAAATACTATCTTAGTAGAGAAGCCTTCCCTGATAACCTTCTTTAAAACATGACCTCCCCTTCTTCATTCTCCATTTTCTGACCCTGCCTCATTTTTCTTAATAGCATTTGTCACTACTGACATTTTATATACATTTGTTTCTTCCTATCTCCCTTTACTAATATAAGGTCCACAAAGGTAGAGACCTGAAACAGTGCCTGGCACTTTCTAGGTGTCTGTTTGTAGTCTATCTTCATTCCAATTTACCCTGTTCTACTGATAGAATCTCCTAAAATACTGTTCCTGCCATGTCAACATCACAACCAATCTTTCAACTTCATCACAGATGGCATCTTCTTTAAGAAGTCTTTTTTGATCTTTTTGGGGAGATATAATCCCTCCCTCTTTCTGGTGCAATTTTTCTATATCTGTTATACTGTGATGACAGTTTAGGTTATAAAGTAAGACACAGCCAGCTTTGAATTCAGATTGTACCACTTACTAGTTTATTAGGCCCAACCTGGGCCTGATTCTTTATCTATAAAACAGAAACAATAGTAATACCTATTTCATTAGAATTATTGTGAGGACTCAATAATGCATGACAACATTTAGCAAATTCCTGCTACTTAACAATTTTTATTTAAAAAAATTTTTTTAATGTTTATTTATTTTTGAGACAGAGAGAGACAGCATGAACAGGGGAGGGTCAGAGAGAGGGAGACACAGAATCTGAAGCAGGCTCCAGGCTCTGAGCTGTCAGCACAGAGCCCAACGCAGGGCTGGAACTCACGGACTGTGAGATCATGACGTGAGCCGAAGTCAGATGCTTAACCAACTGAGCCACCCAGGCGCCCCTACAATTTTTATTCTTATTATTTCCATCATTTTATACATATTTCCCCACTAGACTATAAGCTCCAGGAAGACACATACAGTGTCTTACTCATTTTTGTATTCCCTGAAAATTTGTTGGAGAAATCTTAAAAAATGGAAAACATTAGATTTATAATAATAAAAAATAACATAACTGGTACTTCTTGATCTCTATTTCTAAAGCAACATAAATTGAAAAACTCTTGGGTGACATTTATTTAAACCAACTATTTGTGAAAGGATATATGCTTTAAAATTGGGAAAGTTGTAGTTTTCTCTGGATCTCTATTGCAGAATGGACAAAAGATAAAAAAGAAAACAAACTACTGCCATCTACTGATAATTCATTACAATCATTTAAATCAATGAAAACGAGAGTTTAGAGACTAGACAGTATCAATTACTTTCTTTTTTTTTAACATTTATTTATTATTTTTTTTTTTTAATTTTTTTTTTCAACATTTATTTATTTTTGGGACAGAGAGAGACAGAGCATGAACGGGGGAGGGGCAGAGAGAGAGAGGGAGACACAGAATCGGAAACAGGCTCCAGGCTCTGAGCCATCAGCCCAGAGCCGACGCGGGGCTCGAACTCGCGGACCGCGAGATCGTGACCTGGCTGAAGTCGGACGCTTAACCGACTGCGCCACCCAGGCGCCCCAACATTTATTTATTTTTGAGAGACAGAGAAGACAGAGTGTGAGTAGGGGAGGGGCAGAGAGAGAGAGAGAGTAACACAGAATCCGAAGCAGGCTCCAGGCTCTGAGCTGTCAGCACGGAGCCCGACGCGGGGTTCGAACTTACGAACCGTGAGATCATGACCTGAGCCGAAGTCAGAGGCTCAACAGACTGAGCCACCCAAGTGCCCCTCAATTACTCTTTCGTTCAAACCATATATGTGGGTACATATAATATATAAGGTATTTTGAGGAATATAAAGACAAATTAAGTGACTCTGATTTAAAAAAAAAAACTACAGTATTTGATAGTAAATGTTCAAACTACATATAAAACACAATCATTTAGAAAATATACTTTCAACTAAAAAATTAGCTTTACAGAAAATAAGTTAATAAAAATACTACACTAAACTATCATTTTTCTATATTAACTATAATCAACATTGAGTACTTACAAGTAACTGACATTGTTCTAAGTGCTTTTACATGAATTATCTGTATTTTCCCTCAGAACAATCCTATAAGCTAGATATTATTTTTGCCTATATTTTATAGATGAGTAAACTAAGACTTGGAGAAATTAAGAAATTAGCCAAAGGTCACACATCCAACAAGTAGGAAGGATGGAATTTGAAACAATTAGGATTCAAATTCACATTTATTAGGCACTTAACATGTATGAAAGCACTGTGATAAGCATAATTTGTGCATTATCTCTTTTGCATTGAAGAGGCAAGCCCTTCTATTTGACCCTTGGGATATTTTTAAAAGGCCATGGTTCCAGCTTTTGGAAACTCATCATCTGGTACCTCCTCCAAGTTAATGAGCAAAATAAAGCAAGACTGTCAAACTCCTCTGGGCTTTTGAGAGCTTTTGGCTTAGAAGCACTACGAGGAGGTAATTGTGTATGTGCAACCATGTCACATAAGCACCGGTTTTCATTCTGAATGGGAAAGCTGTCATGTGACAGCTAGGCAGTTAAAGTAGCTTATAATTTCATCCTACCCTTTTAAAATAGCGACTTTTCAGAAAACAGAAAATATTACCAGAAACATAATTTTTGTGTGAAACTATTTTTGCTTTCTAAGTGGGTGGGGGAGTTTAATATCTAAAGCTGATATTTAGCTGGGAAAGCTAAAGAAAATTAACCTGGGGAAAGATGAGGTCAAAGAGTTCCCTGGAATCGAGCAAATTTTAAATTATGGTCTTTATTTGTCATAAACATGATGAACTCAGATCTGGGTGGTTCAATTCTAACAAATAAAGATAATAGTGGGGAAAATGTCACCCACTGCACAAATAAGTAAGAATACACACTTTTCAGGTAAAAAAGAGTGTAAGTCTTTTCAATCACATGTTTTTAAGAGAAGTTATAACATCATCCAAAGGAACTAATTAATTGGATCATTAAAAATGTATTCATACCTATTATATACTAGTGTGTTGGGATCTGCTAAGAGTAGTCATTACTCTCTTCTTTGACTAGGCAATGTGATTAAGGTTTCAGGATGCTGAAAACAGAAAGAAAAAAACCCAGGATTTGCAGTGTTCCTTAACTTCCTATCAAAGACAATACAGGCAACATTAATACATTAACCACCCTGCTTCTAACTTTCTACAAAAGGTGAGATTTCTCTGAATGTTCCGCTAGTAATGGACTACCAAGATGTCTTGTTTTAAAGTGTAAACATACAAAGATTGATCCGCAGCTTGAATCCAAGCTTTAAGGGATAGCTAGGCAACTGTTTCAAATAGAAATGATAGGTGTATGATGAAATCCAGTCACAGCCTACCTACGTGTTTCATTCAGGACAGTAAGAAGCAAGGTTTTTTTGTTTTTTTGTTTTTTTACTCTGTGTACAAGTAAGCATGATTTCTAAACCAAGAGGAGCTTGTAGGTTGAATGGTGCCCCCACACCTATATGTCCATGTTCCAAACTCCAGAATCTGTGAATGTGCTAATTTGGAAAAATGGTGTTTGCAGTTGTAGTTAAGGATCTTGAAATGAGATCATCCTGGATTTAGGATTAGCCCTAAATCCAATGACAGGTGAGAGATGGGCTATGCAAACAGTGGGCAGACCATATATAAATACAGAATTCTGACCTACAATTGGCAGCAACCAACTCAGGAAACCAACCTGTTTCCTACAGTAACCAGACCAGGAAACCATCCTGCTGTCTATAAGCCAGGCTTGTAGGAAGCCAGACCACTATCTCTAATAACAATTCTAGAAGCCAAACAAAAACTTCTGTAACAACTGGCCCCAAAAGACCAGTGTTTGCTGGTTTGCTGAA